TTTGTGGTGCTAGCCAAAACTCTCATGAGTACCCATATTTAGCATAACAGAAAAGCAGTAACATAAACCTTAATTTAAACAGTACAAACCAGATGGAAACAAAATAAACAACAGAAATAAATATTCTTCTTTTTCCCTAGGAAAAAAAAAAAAAAAAAAGACTAGGCAGTTCAGGCCACAGAATTTTGTTTTGTGTAGCAAAACACCTCTTAAGGGTGTTTAATCAGCTTATTCATCCGTGTTCTTCTTTTCTAACAGTCATCTTAAAAGAGCAATTTAATAACAAAGAATACACACCATTTAACTAGTGGATTTTTGCTTACCTACCTTATTACAGTTATCATTACACGACACAATTTGTATTTCTTTCCAGCTGTTGAGTGTGGCAGTAGTACTCAAGATAATATTTGTATATTCATAAAATTCCTGGTGTGCATCTTCTGTTAAGTGGTGCAAACAGCAGTGAAAGCAACAGTAGCTTGTTCACAGAAAGCTTATTGCACATGCTTTGGTTTCACCTCATTTGAAAGGCTCTGTGATTTCACAAAATAAAAAAAAAAACAAACCAAACAAAACAAACCAACCAAACAACATAAAACTAAAAGGTCACTTTTTCTCGCAGCTTCCCCCAAAATGACACATGGAAAAAAATGCAGTATAAAGCCCTGGCTAAAAAAAGCCTTCACTAAACCAGGCAAAGTGGAAAACCTGTAAACCCCTGAGACTTGTGCCCTATCACAAAATTGCCGAAACAAATAATGCCCATGGAACTAAAAATATACTGGGCGTGACAAAAGGGAACTTTAACAGTGTGAGTACGAGAGAGTGGGGCTGTAAACAGTTAAGAAAAGCGCCTTTTTGTGTTCCACCTTCCTCCTGGGCTCCTGCAATCCATGCCAACATACTGAGCCTTCTAGTGTTACCCTGTTAGGCAGCAGGGTGAGGATGTGGCAGTAAAACAGATGACCGGACATCCCAGACGAGTTGCACTTAACAGCGAAGGATTTTGTTTCAAAGCCACGTTGTGATGGATCAGCTCTACGTGTGGCAGAAGGGGCTGCTAGCAAATCAAATGGTTATGTCTCCAAGCCTGCAGTGCTGTAAGACAGCAGAACTCCACTGACTTTGATGCACAGACTTTGGGGTAACTGCTGATATGTGCTGACTCTTTTGGGCCAGCAGGGAAAGGCTTGCTCTGCCCTGCTCTGATATCGGCCTGTTCCTCCATGGAGATAATGTCTGAGTTACAGCTGATTGCAGAGGCCAGCAGGGTCAGAACAGTCCAGTACAAGTCGGGCCCAGTTCTCAGAGCAACACCCTCCTTGACTCCAGAGCTGGGATCACATTCACCAAATCAAAGAGGGCGCTTCACAAAGGGCCTGTTTTTCCAACGTGCTCAGTGAACTCTCTTTTGTATATTCAGGTGCACATCTTCCCCTCTCAGCTGCGACAAAGAACTGGGCACTTCCAAAGGCTGCCAGAGGAGGGACATTCTCACTGGGACACTTGGTTCCTCCAGCACTTTGATACCTGGTTCAGCTAAGCAATTCAGCATCCCATTCTTACCAGCCTTGGACATGCTCATGGCTCAGCTAGAAACTCTTTTTTTCCTGTCAGAGCAATGTATTAAGATCTATTTGTAGATTTTATATTATAGGCTGCATATAATTAAAAAAAAAAAAAAATTCTTAAGGAAGAAAAGAGGATTAGATTATAAGTATTTTGCATGCAAATTCTAATATTTGTAAAAAATGAAGTTAGTTGTGAAATATGAACACTTGCATCTAGCCACAGGCAATAAGCAGGAGAAAGGGAATGCAAAAAAGATCTTCCCTAGTCTTACAATCACCTAGTTTATCTCCCCTCTTGTTCCAGCGGTGCATGATGAGAAACATGAAGTGTAATTATGGAAGCAAATACAGAATAAGGAGCACTTAATTTTATCCCGTGAGCTAACAAAACACTGCAACAGTATTTACAACACCAGTTAACAAGTGGCAGTAACATAAGGTGCAGCCAACTTGCAGTGGAGGAATCTTGCTCAAGTAGAAACTCTCTTTTATCCTGTTCTGAAAATACTGACCTGATGCCCTCACAAAAATGATCAGTGCCACGAAGCAGCACTATTGATTCAGTACTAATGGATGTGACTGAGGTATTTTTCTTATTAGTGTCATTCAGAACAGTAAACTTCAGGAAATATTTTTAGATAAGTGTTCATTTCAAGGTATACAAGAAGTACATAAATGGTATCAGAAGACAGGACACATTTAGGAGAATTAATTGAATTGTACATGTGCATCAACAGCACCAATTTCAGGTGCTGTTAAACAAAATGAAACAATGCAAAAGCAAATCCTTTTTTTTTTTCTGAATAGGAAAAGAAAGAAAAGAGAGGAGTAAGAAGGACCTTGTACCCTGTGAAAACATATCGATGCTGATGCTTATTGTTATCGTTATTATAACTGATTTAAATGAACAGTGGAAAAATCTGAAGAATTATAAAACCAGTATTTGTAGAGAAGGAATACATCAAACGAGCTGAAAAGCCTTTGACATGGGAAGATGCTACTTCTGCTGAGTTTTCAGAAGATTAGAGCATGCCAGTGGCCAAGAATGCAGATAATAATACTCCCTAGCAGGTGCCAGAAAGTTCAGCCTCCTCAGGGCAGGGAAGTCTGGACTCTGTGAAGAGCTGTGAGGACCAAAATCCGCTGTATAAACAGCAGCAGGCATAAATTAATAATTTTATCTCTTGTCTTCAGGAATAAGGTACACTTAAAATTTTCACATTTTTTAAGTGATGCAAACAGCAAAAGTATTGCTTGCTGGTCAAACATCAATTTATTTTCATATGAAAGTGTAACATGACTTTAAGACATAAACAATACCTATTTCCTTGCACTGAACAGTTTAGTCAAATGCAGTGATTTATTTATCAATCATTTCATGCCACTAATATTTAATTAGTTTAGATAAAACTGCTTTTTTTATGAGTTTTTGTTTGCTCCACCATCTATAACATGTTGTTAGATTAGACTTCCTCTTTCGAAAAGATCAGCATTTTCATAAAAGAATAGAAATTATGACACCTGAATCTTAAGTTGATCTCAGTTTAGGACTAGGCTGTTGCAAGTCGAGTTTAAACTAAGCTCAGACATTTGAGATCTGCTGAATTCTCAGAGCATCACTGAATCAACACACGTTCAAACTTCGCTTAAACAGCAAGCTCTCTGTAGAAGACACTTCCTACCATTCCAAATCCTGTCTTTAAGACCCAAGTGTAAATGAGGACCCACTAACCAAAATGCTCTAGCAAACACCATGATTCAGAGCTCAGTGATTTACCTTGAGCAGAAAGGTTGCTAATCAACTGTGGCACCTGAGTCTGATAGACAGACAAATATTCCAGGACCACGCTGAGGTGGCTAAAAATGGGTTGAAACCCTTTACTGGACCATGTGTGGGGATCCTACTTGCCAATACACATCCTTTGCTCATCATTTGTAGATAAAAACATGGAACAGGATGACAAGATTAACACAGCCAGGAGAGAGGCTTGGAAATAAGTGTGAGTGTGTGTGTGTGCTGTGGGAGGGGGAAGGCACTCCTGGAACACAGCCTGCACTCTCTGCCACGCTGAAGCACATGAGGAGGTCCAGCTCTTCACAGCAACAAGAAAAACGGATGGGAGGCACTGGCAGAGGAAGAGAAGAACGGAATAAAAACCAGCAAACTGGGTAGAAGAGAGAGGCAGGTCTTAATAATCTTCCACAGCTTGCTTTAACTGGGCATTGATGCAGGCAGAGCCTGAAACAACCCTGCAGAAAACGTGTACTTTGCAAATAGATTTGGTACCTCTATTCTACATAAGAACTGAGAGGTATTTTAATTCCATTACAATCACAACAATTGCATCTTTGTTAAATGACTAAACTTCACTGCAAGTTAGAGTACCATTAAAAAAAAAAAAAAAAAAAAAGAAAGAAAGAAAGAAAGAAAGAAAGAAAGAAAGAAATAAGAAAGAAACATATTGGGTGAGGTGCTTATCTTGTTTCCAGACATTTTTGCTCCTAAACTGTTGAACTAGTTTAGAAGCAACATTATTACTAATAAGTCTACTCCCAATAATTATAGAAGAATATGGTTCTTTTTTAGCAACAACAAAGTAGATCACATTTTTTCCTCATAAAGGTGACGTTCAAAATGTTTTGATAGACAGTAAAGGATTTTGATGTACCGTGTTGGAGCTTTACTCACACATGCAAGGAAAAATTAACACTGCTGGCTATTATAGGAGAAACAGAACTTGATATTTACTACACCTGGCAGTTTTACGTGTTTGATGTCTCTCAGAAATTTACTAAAACTGGCAGTTTTCTTCTGGTAACTGCCAGAAACACTGAAAGCCACACTGGCCCCCGTACCCTCACAGCTGACTGCTCTTCTCCCAGGGAGTACAACCCAAATCTCACAACCAGCCACAGGAGAGAGGAACAGCAAAGACTACAGCACTATCTAGGAGAATTTATTGACCGAAGGGGTGATGCACCACTCATCATTAAACCTGAAAGACAATCCTTAAAATGAGTTTATCATGCGGGTGGCACAGGTGGTCCAGACCGCCGGTGCTGCTCCGGGAGCGTTTACCTCGGAGAGCCTCCACAGCCAACACTTCTCCGCATCCCCCGCGCTCGCAGGACCGGGGTCCGGGCTGTGACCCCCATCTCCCCAGGGGGAAGGGTGGGGAGGTTCCCGCGCACCTGAGAGCAGCGGGGACGGGACGCCCTTTGCGGGGCCTGCCCGCCCTTCCCCATCCCCGCCCGGCAGCGGAGCGCAGGTAGCGGAGCCCCCGCGGCCGGGCGAGATGCACCAGCCCTCCCCTCGAACCTCGCCTCGCCCTGCGCATCACTTTAAACGGGCACATTCCCCTTTCCTTTCGCGGTCGGGTCGCCCCGTCCCGTCCCATCCCATCCCATCCCATCCCGGCCCTCACTCACCTCCGCCTCGGCGCGGCCCGGCCAGAGCAGGGCGAGCAGCAGCACCGGCGCCAGGCGGCCCGGGCAGCCCCCGCCGGCCATCCCCGCCTCGGCGCAGCCTGCGCGGCGTCCCGGGGCGCTCCGACTCTGCCCCCCGTCCGCCCTCCCGCGGGTTTTGGCCTGGGGGGCTCCTGCTCCGCACCCGCCTCGGCGCTCGCAGCGCCCCGGGGTGGGGTGGGGTGGGGACAGGGGCCGGGGCCGGTCAGGGCGGGGCCACCCCCTCCTCCCCTCCGCTCTTCCCCCCCGCGCCTCCTGCCTCGGGCACCGCTGTCAGCCGCCGTCTGTCTGTCCGTCCGTCCGTCCTCAGCGGGCACGCGGTGAGCGAGGTGTCGGGGGCTTTCCCGCCTGGGAGCTGAGCTGAGCTGAGGTGAGCGCGGCGGGCGGGCAGCGGCACCTGGGGCTCCCGGGGACGGGGCTGGGCAGCGGCTGAGGGGCAGCTCCGGCCCGGGACAGCAGGAGTTGTCCCGGGGTACCTGGCTGGCTCCGTCATCCGCCCTGAGGGCGCAGGTGGCGGGGATGGGGATGGGGCCGGGGACCCTCCAGAGCCATCCCGGCTCGCCCGGAGCGGGGTCGGCTGTGGTGCCCCGGAGGGGAGAAGGGCTCCGTGAAAGCCGGAGGAGCAAGGCAGTGCCGGGACAGGCAGTGGTAGCCCGGCCCGCAGCGCCATCCCGCTGCCGGGGCGCTCCGGGACACGACGGGAGTGTTTTCCTTTCGCTACGCTTTCCTCTCCCTCAGGCGTTTCCTTAATGAGGCAGCGGAGATCAAGAAGTCCCAGAAGGGGGCAAAATGCTGTCCCGCTGCATAAATGGAGATCAGCGAGAAGTATTTCTCTCTAGGCTTGCCGTGCAGTTTAGCAATGATATAAAACTTTTGCGACCGGAATTGTGATTCATGACGTGTCGGCGATGTGTGAAGTTTATCACATTTATGCTGTTGACGTGAGGGAACATCTCGGCAATTAAAGTGCTGTTCTAACGTGGTGAAAACTTATGCTGGCAGTTCTACAGCAGCCTTACCTTGTCTGTAGCGATCATGGATGCTGCACGGGAAATCCCACCTTCCAGGTTTCACTGAGCACTAGAAGTGATATAGAAAAAGCAACACTATAGTATGTGTATAGAAATATAGGACTGCTCATGAAAGACAAATCTAAGGGCTTTCATAAAAGCTGAAAGAGCATTCAGGGCTTTGTAAAACAGCTTCTTTTACAGGCACTAGCGTAGAGCTGAAATTCCTTTCCGTAGACAGTATTGTCAGCCCCCTATGAAATCTGCTGTGAAAGCTGGTTAGCAGAGGTTATTTTTCCCCCAAAATTTGGTACTACCAGTGAGAACACATCCCTGGAAGGTGTTCAGTGTCAAAGATCTTGTACATAGAACCGTGTTAACAACTCGGCTCTGAAATATCCAGCATCTGTGAGAGCAAGCTGGTACAGGGAGCAAGTTATAGAGAGAAAGGAGGAAAAAAAAATCCTCTGTTTTCAAGCCAGATTGATGGTGACCACTTGGAGGAAATAGTATCTTAGGGATAAAAGCCCGAAATGACACATCTTACTTGTCGGATTTCTAAACCTGTTGACCTGTGCTACATTTTTTACACAGCAATACTGTATTAAAGTAAAAAGTGGTGTCTACGGTTTTTTACAAGCCATAAGCACTTATAAATCACAAGCACCCAAATCTACCTCTGGAATTTAGCATTGGAAAAACTGGTGTTACAGTGTAGCTGACAGTCATTTATACAAAAGTAAACCCAAAAGGTGCAAGGTTCTGTTAGACAACGAGGTCAGAGATTGCAGTGGAAGAGAGTGGTCAGTGCTCAGAAATTATGCCAGTTTGGATGTAGAACAAACAGGATGACTGTCACTGAGTAAAGAAGGTAGCACTCAAAAGGAGAGCTCCTGAATACC